TATCCTTCTTTGGCATCGTTTAAAATTAGTTTTTAATTGCATGCAAATAATTAATTACAATAAATTAATAAAAAGTCTGGAAAAGGACACAGTCAATAAAGTTCAGTTTTAATTTGAAAAAATAAATAAATAATCAAAATATTCAATTAAAATCGCTACTGAATATAATTTATTAGAACATATGTGATTTGCACTTGTATGAAACTCAAACACGTATTCCGAATATACAAACTAGAAACATGTGGATAAATATTATAAATATGAATACCTATAACTGTTACTTTATTACAAAAAATAAAGATGTGGTTTTTGGTTCTACTACACCAATGGTCAAGAGATGGCGCTGTAGTCTCCTGAATCGCGCTTTGGTTCCGTTGTTCCAGATTAATAAATACTTTTTGTTACTTTATTACAAAAAATAAAGATGTGGTTTTTGGTTCTACTACACCAATGGTCAAGAGATGGCGCTGTAGTCTCCTGAATCGCGCTTTGGTTCCGTTGTTCCAGATTAATAAATACTTTTGATAGGCCCTCACAATGCAGTCGTTAGCACCCACTAAATAGAGATTCTATTTTGTTGGTAGATTTTCTTAATGTGCGGTAAACACAAAAGTAATAGTTAATTTTTTGTGTTACAGTGATGCGCGCGCGTCTTTAATTTCACTCTCATCATTTTATCATAACGCGCCTAAAGAAGTATAACTTCAAAAATAAATCTAGCAAAGTATTGTCTGCCTGCCTTTCTTTGCAAGTAGTATAATTACTTAATTCTCAATTACTGTTAACATTGTTGGGTTCCAAATCTTGCGCAATCTGCCCACATTGTATATCCTTTCAGTTGACTAATCTATAGTATTCCAACCATAAATATCGCCATTTGAAAGGGACACCATTCCCACAGCTCCTTAGATCTAGATTAAATTATACAGTCTAAAAAGGCTTCTTACAATAGTAGAATACAATGAGACTTGGATTCAGTTGGCTCACGATTAAGGTTTGTTTTTGAATGTTAAGTAACAGGATGTGGAGACCCGAGGAAGCCTTCGATGTTCTACTTTCCACGGTGCAAGGTATTTAATACCAAGGACTGGTTATATTGTGTACCTTTGGCCATTAGTATATTGGTCAATTAAGCTTTATTTTTATTTTATTTTTTATTTTTATTTATTAAGGATAACAAACAATTGTGCAATATTGGTGTCGATTCTGGCGTGATTCTCTAAACTTAAAACTAAATTTAACATAAGTCTCTCCTTTTCATTCTGTGTAGAGAATGACAGGGATGCACTGTTGTCAAATTTAAGTTAACAACACAGAGATCTTATTATTACAAAACATGATAAGTTTGTTATATCTTTTTTACTTGCAAATCGATGGTTATAATTTAAATGTTACAAAACACAACTTTTAAATATTTGGTAAACAATCAATAATGGCGTTTTTATATTGAAAAAAAACACGTAAACAAGTCCAAATCGAAACCAGATAGGTTGTCATTAAAAAAAATCATTATTCGATGTAAGGGTGCGCGTTCACCTGCATTCGTTCTGCACTGTTTGGGGAAAAATAATTTATGAGCATTGGTATCTCTGATACGCTTTAGTGACGACTAAGTGTCGCCGCACACGGGCCACACGCCACAGTCACAAACGCCGCCACGAGAAGCTAGAAGCGGCTACTAAAGTGGCTGAAGCGCGCGACAGCGGCCGACTAAGGTAAGGGAGAGAGGGGTGGGGAATCGCGCGAGTGACGTGTGACGGCGTTTTGTATCGGCGCATTAAGTGGCCGGTGCGGGCCACAAGAAGCGAGCAACGACGATTTGTAGCGTGTGGCGGCCACCGGCGTACCGTGTGTGGCGAGTCCATATAAAATGTATGAAAACTACAAGAAATATGCCGGTGGCGGGGTTTTGTGGTTGTGGTCGGTGTCCCGTGTGCGTCGACACTAAAGCTTATTTTTTTGTGAAAGTAGTTATTGTTTAACAAGAAAATCTTTTAACGTTGAGTGGAAGAATCAACCATCCTATTAAAAATGATTATTAAATCTCGAAATCTAATACAAGAAGGACTTATCTCGATGCTGCTTGTTTGGCGTTTGTGTTGGCAAAGTTACTTTTAACCGATACTTTGAAATGAACTGAAATGAAATGAAAAGTCATTTATTCAGTCTAGGCTGTTACAAGCACTTGTGAATGTCAAGAAGCTACGCCATCGGTTCGCAAAACTACGGCGGGAGATCTTGTACTGAGAAGAACCGGCAAGAAACTCAGCAAGGGCTGTGTTTTTCTCCCTGTATTGTTATATACAGAGTCGTCGTTTGTAATCGGGAATCAATATTTTATAGATCTTCAAATATATCAAAAAGCCGATCGAATTTGTATAACAAAATTAATCGTAGTTATAGATCATCATCATCAATCAGCGTATTAATGTCCCCACTGCTGGGGAACAGGTCTTCCCTATAGATGGAATAGGGAGATTAGGCCATGACCTATCACGCGGGCCCAGTGCGGATTGGCGGGTGCTAACGACCAGCAAGACGGCCCAGTGCGGATTGGTAGGTTCTACAATCATTTAAACGATGCAGATTTAAGTAATGGATTTAAACTGAGTTACTACTCGATTGAGGTTTCCTCTTGGGTTTGCCTAACTCTGAAACTTAAGCAATTATAAAACTGGACCCACAGTGCACTAGCTATAAGTTATAGAAATCTGAGTTGAGAATTAATGTATGACAGGATTCATCATCATCATCGTCATCAGCCTATAAATGTTCCGACTGCTGGGTCACAGGCCTTCCCTATGGATGAAATAGGGAGATTAGGCCATGACCCACCACGCGGGTCCAGTGCGGATTGGCAGGTGCTAACGACTGTAGTTGCAGCCGGGACCAACTGCTTAACGTGCTTTTCGAACCACGGAGGATCGAGATCGTAAATTTTTAGTTACCCATCCATTGACCGACCACTGCGAAAGTTGCTTAACTTCATCGATCGCAGCCGAACACGCTAACCACCTGCGCCATCAAGCTCCTAGTTATAGATACCAACTTTAATATCTACAATCTACTTTCTCCATAGTACTAAAGTCGCTCGTAAAATCTTAAAAGTGTTATCAGCGATCATCTTTAACACCGCTTAGAATCTAAAGTATGTCTAAATGTTTCGTAATAAAACCAGGCCCAGAATTGCTCCCTGTGGTATGCCGCGCGGCGTAACCACCAGTCGAGATGTGTCACTTACGTCAACATGACAAGCGGACGCCCTGCCTGAATGTGATCCGACCTGGATTAGAACTTTCCTAGAATGTACACAAGTTTTCCTACACAACAATCATACAAAGATTATTTTACCACCAATACAAAGCATTTTTAACTCTATGCCTCTAGTGTTTAGGTGAGCTGATGTGAGAAGTGAAATTTGCAGGTTTGCAGACGCTTAGGTGCGGTGCTTCTATAATAAAGTTTTTATTAGATTTTAAACTTGTGAATGACATAATCGGCGATACCAAGCCGGAGTGCATATTTTGGTATGCGGTTTCAATTGGTCCATTCAATACCGTCAATAAATCGTTGGAAAATGTATATTTATACACTGGAATCGACTTTAGTATAAAAAATATAAGCTCATTAAAAAAAACCGTAGTCATTGAAAACTGATAAAAATATTTGTTTCTAGATAGTTCTTGTCTTGAGATCATTAAACCGCAATCGCCTTATTACAAAACGGGGACTAAAGTTAAACCTGGACTAAAATAAAACTGATTCTGTCACTTTCGTTTGCTAAAAAAAGACAGAGATAGCTTAGGTTTAAACCAAGACTAATTTTAGTGTTTTGGAATAAGGCGGCAAAGGTTCAAGAATTATTTAGTATATGACATAGGCCCGTGGCCCAGCAGTGGAGACGCTAATAGGTTGATAGTGATGATGGACACTCGAGAAGCTCATTCGTGCAATGGTTAGCTTCTACGATCATGGAACTTGAGCAACTTATGCATTTGCCAGTCATGGGATTGGTGACCAAAAATGCACTAACTTGACTCCTAATTGTGTTAATTAAAAATGCACTTTAGAAATCTAAAATTGTCCTAAAAGAATCCTTTTATCGTCTTGTTGTTGCGTAACTCCAAAATGAATACATTTTGGACTGAAGGACGTATTATTTACGATTCCGTAAGTTACTTTTATAATGTCTATCTATGCTTTCAAATACAATTTATTATTGTGTGACCCAACTCCATCTTTGATGAATGGCTAAAAATTATGAAGATTTATTATATAGAAAAACTTTTGGATCCAGGTATACGCAATAACATTAGGCAGCTACAGAATATTATAAAAATTTCGTAAATGATCTATAAACATTAAGAATAACCCACTTTCCTCGTATGTCTGAGCACGCATCACGATTAGCACTCGAGGTGACAACATTGCACCTTACTATGCACATGCTTCTGCATCGTTAATCAATAAAAACCCAGATACAAGTGCGAATCAGGCTCGTACAGGTAAGGTTCCCTACCGTTGTACAGACAGTTTTAAAAATTTAACAATCTATATATATGAAACTCAAAGGTGGACTGACTGACATAGTGATCTATCAACGCACAGCCCAAACCACTAGACGGATCGGGCTAAAATTTGATATGCAGGTAGATGTTATGACGTAGGCATCCGCTTAGAAAGGGTTTTGATCAATTCTACCCCCAAGGGGATAAAATAGGGAATGAAAGTTTGTATGAAACTTTGTTAATTTTAAACCGATCGGGCTGAGACTTTGCTTTAAGAAGAATCATAGATGAATGTCATTGTGTATAATACAAGCCTGAGATCAAAAACTGTAGTCTACACTTCAGCTCTACACCGAAGCGAAGCGAGGACGTGCCGCTAGTTTACACGTATAATTTTGACCTTGGTATTGCTTGACATAAATTAATAACAAAATAATAATCTTAATTGTTAATTCAAAACGTATTGAGAAACTTTTTCAGTTTGTAGTTACATGTATATGTACAGGCTCTGCCTGTACAAGATTTTAAGATTCGGTCGAGTACCTAAAAATTGGGGGAAAAAACTAATTGTATAGAAGTTTATCTTTTCTTATCAGTTTAACGGCAATAGAAATGCTAGTTCTATGCATAATTTGCATTGTTAAAATTCGTACGATACCTACAGATCGCTAAGAGGGATAGACCAACGGATGGACAAAATGCTTAGGAATAGGAATCCATTGCCACTTGAACGGTACCCTAAAAAGAAGCGATCTGTAACTCGTTGACGGGTTTTCTTTTAGCGAGGTGTGGCACGTCTGGAAATGCGTATATTGAGTAAGTATATTATGTTTCACCTTTGATGGTCTAAAAATCTATTGCGCACTATGACGACGACGACACTAAGTTATCAGGGACTCCTTACCTACCTTCTGAACACCCATTCAGCCAATTCAGCCAACTCATGAAGCTGGCTCAATGGCTACGACCATTGTGGCGATTACCACTAAAATTTCGGAATGCGCCTTCTCTTTACCGGTAACGACAAAACGTTATACTAGGTACAGATACGTACCTGGTCGTTTTCCCCGCCCCCCCCACGACAACGGCTAACCAGAGCCGAGGTCCATGTTTCAGAGACGCCCTCTAGTTGAACCGACCCCCTCAGGTTCGAGTGGTCTAGAGGCTCCAGACGGAGAGGAGACTCCTTCCGTGGGGAGATGCCACCCGCTGGAATACCTCTAGAGGCACTCGCCAATTCTCGGCTTGAGGTCCCCTTAGGATCTCGCCATCCCCAAACCCGGAGGCCTACTCTATTTCAACGAAAAACGAAATTTCGATCGTAATTTCGCACGTTCCTTACTCTGTTTCTATTTCATTTCGAAAATTCGTTCGTCCGAAAACAGTTTGACATTTAATTTCTCTAAGCCTACTCTAATTCACAAAACTTTTGAACTAAAAGTTGAATTTGACAGATAATTGTTCATAATTTTAACCTCAATTTGACGAAATGAAAAGTGTTACCTTTTCATTTTCGTTTTGGGTTTTTTGTTTAAATTAAACCTAAAATTAGTAGTGAGTGTTTTTAATTAAGGCTGCTTAGCGTGAGGAACATCTTTTAGTATGAAAAATTTACAAATAAATCTAATTTTTGTTTATTATTGTATTGCCATTACTTCAAAGTATTACACGACAAATTTAGGTTGACATACATTCGATTGCATCAACTCTACAAATTAGTCGGCTTACACTTACAAAAGAGGTTGTTTTAATGTAATAAAAAATGTTGTCATAATGTAATATTGTTTTGAAGTAAAAAACGTTATCTAAAAAGCGTTGACAAAAAGAACTCACAAACGATAATTGTCTGTGATTCCGAACTTTATGGTGCGTGTTCGAAGATGAAATAGAGTAGTCACTGGCGAAATTTCGTTTAAAATTCGTTCGTTGCCGAAATTTCGTTTCGGAGAAAGAGAGTAGAGCTCCCGGTGTCACTGTATAGGTCATCTGCAACCAATAGCATGTACACACTCAAAAAAAATCTCCTTACCGGTAATGATAAGTGGGATCCTTATTGGGAATCAACTATGCTAACTACTAAAAACCTAATGGGAACTCTTCGTCTGTCGTAACGGGTTTTGTAGAATCCATATTACCCTCTGCAGATCTTCCTTCTCCTCATTGCGGTCGAGGGATGCCCGGGAGCTCCGCGACATACCCCAAGATGGACAAAATTGTGTAATGTGGATGTCAGAACAACCCAGTCTGCAATCTACCAATCTCATTAGCTGGAAAGAGACGCTATGCCTCCTCCTCGTCTCTCGCTCTCCTATCTCCTTCTTGACGTCCTCACAGAAAGAGACTTTCCCAGTCCAGGATCTGTAGCTGTACAGCGTTATCTTCGCAACGTTATTATTATTGTACCCTATGAATCCTGTGGAGAAAGGTGGTTAGCGCGTTCGGCTGCGATCGTTGAGGTTAAGTAACTTTCGCAGTGTTCGGTAATTGGATGGGAGACCAAAAAATTTTCTATCTCGAGTTCCTCCGTGACGTTGGTCTCGGCTGCATCTACAGTCGTTAGCACCCGCCAATCCGCACTGGGCCCGCGTGGTGGGTCATGACACAATCTCCCTATTCCATCCATAGGGAAAGCCTGTGCCTCAGCAGTCGGGACATTAATAGGCTGATGATGATGATGAATCCTGTCAAACACTAATTCTAGACTCAGATATCTGTAATTTATAGCTTGTGCACTGCGGGTCCAGTTTTACAATAGGGATGATGACTAATTTTTTTTTCTTCGTTTATCAGGTAGATTATCAAAAAGTATTTATTTGACACGTATTTTTTTCTTTTTTCACATAATATAAACATTGCAGAGATATATTGATTTGAAAAGTCGGATGACGTCACGTTTGAGTACACTTATAAGTGAAAATTCACTCAAAAGTGACGTCACGAGCCCCTACTCCCAAACTTTGACGCGCTATAACTTTGTCATTTTGTGGTTGATTGCCCTAAGTAAAAATACATGTCCATTATTATTTGATCATCTAACTGACGGACTAAATAGAATTTCGTTTACTGTACCCCGTCATCACCCCTATTGCTTAAGTTTTATAGTTAGGCAAACCCAAGAGGAAACCTTAATCGAGTAGTAACTCAGTTTAAATCCATTACTTAAATCGGCATCGTATAAATGATTGTAGGACAGCAGTGTTGCTCGGTTTGTGACGATTAGAAACGAGCCGATTAAAGATTAATCGCGATACGGGAAACCGAGTTCGTAATAATATGGCGAGTGGTTACATTAGCCGTAATTAATGTGTTTAAGTTTAAATGTGGCAGGTAATTTTTTTCTTTTTGTAGAATTTCTGACTTGTTGTTACCGCGTTCGGTGCATCGTTTGGGTCGTGGAAGTTATGCCATTGTCGCGATGTCTAAAATACAATACAATACACAATTCTTTATTGAAAACACCACAGTACAGTACATAAATGGGGTAAATACATTATGTTTCAACAGTGATTCAATGGGCGTTCTTATCGCTAAAAGAGATTTCTTCCAGACAACCTTTGGATGGAGAGGATTGAATGAAATTTAAATGTGTTATAAAAGAAATAAAGGATATAAAAATGTATATAACTATATATATTAAATATACATACATACCATACATACATAATATATACACATAATACTACTATAAGATATATACATCTTCTAATATATAAAATTCTCGTGTCGCGGTGTTTGTGGTTAAACTCCTCCGAAACGGCTCTACCGATTTTTGTGAAATTTTGTGTGCATATTGGGTAGGTCTGAGAATCGGATGTAATCCATTTTTCATCCCCCTAAATGTTAAGGGTAACCCCCCCATTTTTTTTTAATTTTATATAAAAAAAAATATAATGTTTTTATGATACATCATACAAAAATACATACAACCCTAAATTTTCACCCTTCTACCACCAACCCCTATTTTTTATGGCGGTACGAAGTCCGCTTGGACAGCTAGTATAATATAAATATATGACATATGACATATACATACATAGACTACCCATAGTCAGAAAAAAAAGAAATTGCAGTTACATATATCTAGATATCTAGTCGAAGGATGATATACGAGTATAACGCGTTCATATTACGCTCTATTGTCAAATTACTATTGGAGTTTGACAGTTCGACGTGATAAAAAATCGTGGTATAATGTTAATTGTGGGGCTCATACTACGGGGTGGTGCTCATACTCCAATTTGCTATAATGCTTCTGAAGGCTCGATAAGGTGTTGGCCCCGGCTGGAGTTGTTTCACCCACCAACAATTCTGTGCCCTTTTGTGGCTCATGGCCCTCTCTCCCTTTTTCATCAATAGCTGTAGGGTCATTAACAGGCTGGTGATTATGATGCAGATATCCTGGTGGCCAAACAGCTTGCTGCTATTTGACAAATATACTTCATTTATACTCAGCATCCGGTGGGGGCATTTGCTTGTATAAAACAACAATATCAGGACTTCACTGTCACTTCCCATATTTAAAAGTAGACTACATACTCTCCTTCTGCTGCGAACTTAGTCTACTTTAACATTACATATTATGTTATGATTTTATTCATTTTTTAAGCATTTAACTGCTAGATGTTTAAATCTAAAGAAAAGTTTACTAGAAAAAAATCCACGCGGACCAGGCAGCGGACGGGACTCGAACCCGCATCCTTCGCTATCCGGGCGAATGCACTGACCATTATGCTACCATGGCCCTATTAGCCGCGTTGAAATTTTCCTAGCCTTAAGCTGCAAGGCAGCGTCATCTTTAAATCTAAAGAAAATATTTAGATTACATATGTTGTTATTATGTAGGTATATATTTATTGTTCAATTATATATATTTCAAGGGGGTTATATGTATTTGTTTCTTAGGTTTTCACGCACATCACTCAATAAATAAAACTACTTTTTTTTACGGGTTAATGCACGAAACTTTATTTATTTACTAGCTGACCCAGCGAACTTCGTACCGCCCTAAAAAAATAGGGGTTGTCCAGCGGACAAAATTGTGAATCTAAACCATTCTCAGATCCCCTTGACAACACACACAAAAAATTTCATCAAAATCGGTCCAGTCGTTTAAGAGAAGTTCAGTGACATACACACTCACAGAAGAATTATATATTTATTTATTGCCGTTTCGTAGCCTTTACAGGACCTACGTCGTCGGAATCAAATTTTTATTAAAAAAAAAAACTAGTTTTATTTATTGGGTTGTATGTATATTATGTATATGTAATGTATATGTAAGTGTATGATAGACAATTACTTATATGTACGTGTATTATATTAATTACATATTTACATTTCTCATCGACTCTGCTGGCTTACTACACCTTCTTTTCCGTTTAGCTTACATACCGCGGAGGTTGTCTGGAAGAGATCGCTTGTAGCGATAAGACCGCCTTCCCCCTATTTTTGTTAAATGTATTCTTTGTACCTATGTCCTTTTGTATGTGAGCAATAAAGTGCTTATTATTATTATTATTATCAGGAATATTTTCCTTTTATCGTGAATCTTCATCCTGCCCATTTGGAACGCAAACACGCGTATTGACGCAGTTTTGTAAGTCTGTGGGCCAGTGAACCAGAAACGTGAGCGTTAATGGCATCTCTGTTTTATTACAAACTGTCTTTTATTTCGTACGCATATCGCGGCGATTTGTCTGCATGCTAATCTTCATCATTGCGTTTGACCCGTCTGTCTGTCTGAGACCTGTATATGGTGGTTTGAATACATAAACACGATGTCGGCGGTAACTTTGTATCGACATGTCATGTCATAC